TATATATATATATATATATTTTAATTTTATTTATATATATTTTTTAAATTTATTTATATTTTAAATTATTAAATTTTAGGTGACGCCAAAATGTAACATTTTTCAATGAATAGTTGTCCTATTGCTTTTTAGTTACTAATTCTTAATCACATATTGTACCGCCCACCTGTCCTGCAACAAATACTCCAAACATCGATTTCAAACTAAAAATACTACAATCAAACACTCAAAAATGTAAAGCATAGAGGAAATACGAACACAGGCAAGTTGTGAATGCAAATACTATATCGTGTTAAAAAGAAATAAATTTTTTTGTTGTCATCTGATTGCTCGTGTTGTAATGATGAATTGCAAATGGGGAAAAGTGTACAAATACGCTGTTGAAAGTAGAAAACAATTGTAAATTTTTGTTCATTGAACGTAAACAAGAGTGGAGTTTTTACTTTTTCGAAACTTTATTTCATTCAATTTTTTTCTTAAGATATTCGTAATTTTTCCGTTATTGCCTGCTCTAACATTGACGTTTTCATCAACAAAATATGACGAAATTCAATTCGGTGTTAGTAACGACTACAAAAAATGAATGAAATGTCAATTAATACATGAAACTTCGACAGTAAAATCTCACAATTAGTTCCAGGGTATGTTACTAATAATGAAAGTATACAAAATGACATGTATTAGTGTAAAATTGTATTTACAATATGTACATAACAATGTGTAATGTATATGTATGTATAATAACACCTAGAAGTTTTAAGAAATTTTTTGATTTTACAGAGATGCGTGATGTACTTTTAATATTAAATCAACAAAAATATATACTTAAGTACGAATTGGCGCTATTTGTTGAATTACATTGTTTACGTATATATTTCACTCGTCAATGATGCTTAAGATCTTATTGCTAGTTTTTCGAAGATCTCCTAATTATGTAAAAATTGTTCAGATTCGCTTCATACTTTCTGTGTCCCAGTGTTTGCGGATGTTGGAATACGCGTGCTTCCAATTTAACAATTTCACAACCCACAAAAAATACTTGATGACAGCAACTTCTTAACAAAAATAAGTAAACGCAAGGCAGTGCGATGTTCATATACAATTATACCGACCAATTATTAATTTATTCTTATATTCGATGTACCTGTCGTATTAAAAGGATTCATTGACTGTAACATACACGTATAGTCTTCACTCGACAAGAAGGCACCTTTGTCTTTATGCCCCCCCCCCTCTCACTAGCTGCCTCACTGTCGTAGCTAGTTAGAGGGGGAATGTAAGCACAGAGGTGCCTTCTTGACGCGTGGGGCTATACATGCGTATTATATAAAGTCTATGAGTTACGAAAGTAAGTAAGTAGATTTAGCATTTGTTTTACATATATTTTACTTTTGAACACTTTGAACGACGATTCTTGAACAATTTTGCACTAATTTATATTAGATAATCTTTATTTAACTTGTAGTTATTTTTTAACGTCAAATTATATCTTTTCTTATGAAAATATGTCTTTTATCAGTTCGAAAATATTTGGGTACTGCTTCTGCCTTTCTGTTCAAATCAGTGCTTATTAAAATAGAAATCAGTATGGCCTTTCAACGAATTAATGAATATTAATAATGGGAATATCATATCAATTTTGGATAAAGCAACAAATATTCTCGATATATTTATGACCGTCAGGTTATGTCAAGGTTAATTCAACAATATGATTAATGTCAGTAGTTAATGTGAT